TTTTTTTTTCTTGTGCTGTTCTTCTTCTTGAGATTAAAGGGGAAAACCTCCTTGTCATTTTCTCCTCAATGCAAACATCTTCTATTGCTGGGGAAAGATAAATTGATGATCCCAGCAGGAAACTTAGTTTTTGAGGAATATCTTACCTACACTTAAGATAATTCAGTTCCAAAAGCAACAAAGCTTGAATCAGTCTAATGTCGGATATTATCAGTTGACTTTAATGTTTTTTAACTCATCTGATTTTAACTTTTGTGCACGTGGCTTGGACATAATAGATCTCTTATAAACACAATACAAATGAATTCTATTTTTATATATTATTTATGTGTTCTCTTGGCTTTTAATCCTTAGATTGTCTAAAACAAGCAAGATTTGAGTTATGGAAACAACAGTGTATCAGATTCATAGCATAATGTACATTTTTTGTTGCAGAAAAAAGTCTTGCAGAATTGCACATTGCCACTGAAGACATGCTGGGTGACAACAGCAGCATACTGACTACAACTGGGATCATCCAGTGAAGGAAGTGAACTCACTGAAGACTGGATCTGTCCAATAGGAGAATCTCAGACTGAAGGATGAAGCTTTGAGTCCATGGAATGGCATAATAGAGTCTTAGCAGAGTCTGCAGCTACTCTATGATGGAATTTTTTTAACAGGAAAAATGAGGAACTTCAACTCAACAAATAAAGATTCAGACAAAGAGTTGAAAATCATTTCAGGGATATTGGAAAAACTTGTGAAATCAGAGTGGATTAAATACTTCTATGACTGTAGCTTATCATATGGGTGCTTTTAACATTTCTGAAATTAATGATATTAATAGAACACTATTCTTCAGAATTGCACTGTCTATGGCAAATTGTTTCCAGCTATATACTGTAATCTGTAATATTCATTTCAGTAAAAACTGAAATGTTAGATGCCTTTCTTTTACAGAGTTTCTATTAAGCCAGATTACTTGAACATGTATACCTCTATTTATGTATCTGATATTGTTAGGAATATGAGTCACCTAACAGGTATTTGGGTTAGAAATATATAAACCAGGACAAACATTTTAGTACTATATCTTTAAGGGAATGCAAGAGCATGCAATTGGGTGTGGTTTCTCAAACAGCCATAAGATGGAGCCAGAAACCTGGGTTGTTTAGTCTGAGTCTCGGAAGAGAGTGTAAGTCTCTGTTTCCTTCTGTTGGAAAGTATTGCCGTTGCTCCATTTCTTCTAATTGACTGATATTACTGGATTTAATGTAAGTCTGATACTGAACTGTTTTTTGACACTGGACTTTGATATTTGGATTATCCCTGGATTGAAAAACTGACTGATTTATCTGTGAATGACTTTTGGACTGCCTATTTTGGACTTTGCTTAACGTTTCTGGAAGTAAAAACCTACATTTACTGTACAGTGTATCTGTGTACTGTGTGTGTATTATTCCAACACTGCTCTCTATACGTCTCCCTGTATGCGCTCATTCTCCTAACGGGGAATTACCTCAACAGATATATTTGAACCATTTTTCTACTTGCCATTCCATTTTTTGTATAGTTGCTATCATCCACTTGTGGCATTCTGATGTGTCCTGCTTATTTATTTGGCTTCTCAGTTGTCAAGAACCATCATACATTGATTAACTATCATTAAGTAAGTGTTGACCCTTGGTATCCATGTAGACAGGCTTTGTACAAGAAGATCTGTCTTCAAACTGGCCTTTTATGTCTCCTAATGGTGCATTCATTGCTGTTTATAAGTCCATTCAGGTTGCTGTTACTTGTCCTTTTCACTTTCTTTGTGGTTTTTTCCCAGCATCACGAACTTTTCAAGGGAGCTGATTCTTGGCAAAAATCTGTCCAAAATACTATCATTTGACTCTGATCATTTGTACATTGAGTGAGAACCCTGGATTAATTTGTACTGTTGAGGTAATTCCCCGTTAGGAGAATGAGTGCACACAGAGAGACATAGTGAGAGTGATATTGAATAACACACGACCAGCACACAGATACACTGAATAGTAAAATGTAGGTTTTTACTTCCAATAAACAGTTAAGCAAAGTCCAATAAGCAGTCCAAGTCATACACGGTTATAGCAGTCAGTTTTCAGTCCAGGGATAATCCAAATAATAAAATCCAGTATCATAAACAGTTCAGTAAACAGACTCACAGCAATCCAAGAAGAACGACGAGCAGCAACAGTCAATAGGAAAAATGCAGGAACCAAAAACAGGGAACATCAGAACATCTAGCAACAACAGAACAGAACAACCCAGGTTTCTGGCTCCATCTTATGGCCGTTTGCTGAACCACACCCAATTACAATTTTAGCATTCCCTTAAAGAAACAGTATTGAATGTCTGTCCTCGTTTATATATTTCCAACCCAACTGTTAGGTGACTATCAATTCCTAACATGTACTATGACCTATTTATTTATTTTCTTAACTAGCCATCCATGGTATTCTTAGAAGTCTTTTTTAGCATCAGAGTTCAAAAGCGTAAATGTTCTATCTTGCTTCTTTAAAGTCCAACCTTCATATCCATAGAGTGTCACATGCAAACTCAAGACTTGTACGGTTGAGATGTAGACATGGCAACTAAGCATTTTTTTTTCCAAGGCCTTCACTGCTTACCCCTATAGATAATAGATATATAATCAGCTTATAGGTTGAATAAAAAGCATTATGTCAATTTGCTGCATTGGAAACAATCTGTTTCACAATGTTTTATCTTGAGTATGACATCCTAATTTGTTAAAAATTTAATATGTGGACAATGAAGTGCTGAGATTCCCATTTTCCTAAGGACATTTTACAACTTGACATGGTTTACACATTCAAAGGCCTTTCTAGAGTCAATGAAGCACATATTGACTTCTTTTTGCCTTTCTCAATTATCCAGTATGCATTGGCAATAATGTATTGTGTTCCAAGGCTTTTTCTAAAGCCAACCTGAACATCTGGCATCTTCTTTCCATGTAGAGCTCTAATTTGTATTGAATGAGCCTAAGAATTATTTTAGTAGCTTTTATTATTTATGATATTGTGCAATAGTTTGCACACTTGGGAAGTCTCCTTTCTTCGATACTAATATACAGAGTGACTTCTATTGTCCACTATAGCGTGTTGATTCATGTAATCTTTTTGGCTGAGCTAGTAACAAGCCATAGGTGGAAAAGGTCATTGTTTCCATAAGCAAAGAAGCTGAGGGAGTGAAGACTACAGTTACAAAACTGTATAGCCTGTGAAAAAAAATGATGCAAGTTTATAGGAGAGACTATAGCTACTCACAGGTTGCACACACAAAAAATTCAAAATGGTGTTGGGAGCCAGGGTGCCTTGTTGGAGCTTTCATGCAAACCTCATTCCAATAAATTTAAAGTTTATTAAAAAAAACAATTATCAGTGTTTTCTAGTCATTTGTTTCTATTTTTCATTTTTCACAAATATTGCAGAATTCATTGGAGAAGTGAAAGTTATTGCTATACCAGTTTCTATTTCCCTTTTCAATGCACAGGACTGTTTCTCAGTCATGCTTCTTATTGCAATTTTTAAAAGTTGAACTTTTAGGCATTAAAATGGTGCTCCTTTATACCACCGTGGCAGCCTAAAGGGAAACTTACTGTGAATTTCTTAGTTACTATTTGACATGCATGTGAGATCAGTGGTCATATAAATCTGATCAATATGCTCACCATGGAGGAAGTGGTATCTCAACACATAGGACCCAAAAATCTATTCCCCCATTCTCAAAAATCAAATTTCTTTAGGAGGGGAAAGACATGTATTGTCCCTATTGTTAACAGCCAAGTCTTTAGCAACGTGTTGGAAATCACAGTGATTCCTGTTTGTAGATATCAATCTATCATGCAACAGACAATAGTTAGAGAAACTGTGTAAAACCCTGTATGTCATGTTTAGGAGCTTATTTTTGTGAGCAAAACATTTCTGTGAACCAAAATGTATGCTGAATGTTTTTTATAGCAACCTCTGAACAATATTTATCGTTGGATAAATCTTTACATGTTTTTGTACAATTACTGCAGTGGATATTGTAAGGATGGTATACACCCAAGAAGACACTGAGGATAAAAATAGTTTTGATTTGCAGATCACATCCAGTAAACTGAACTCTTCTTTCTTCATGTCCTCTGTCATTGAATAAAGGAAGATGAAGTCATCAACCATAAATGAAAGTGATACCAAGATTAGCATGTTATTTTTTTTAAAGCCGATTACCTTGCTTTTATCTCCTCCTCTCAGTTAGAAGCCCATCTATTATTTCACTCCCTGATAGAAACAGCTGTAGTTGCATTGCACTAAAGTTGAGACCATGCAGCTAACACCCATACTATTGTTGTGGGGAAAAATCAGCTCTTAGATGAATTGGGCCAATTAAATCAAGTTGATATATAGAGATAAAAGGCCACAGTCTGTTATCTTACTAGAACCATCTCAAAGGTTTGTAGTGGGAGATGTTTTCCTTTTGACATTCAGCATTCTGAAACTGGCCCTTCCTCTTGATTTATAGGGGGTGATTTCTACCACCCCCCCTTTATTGTCTTGTTCCTCTCTGCCCTTATTTATTGCTTCATTGCTCCCTCTAGGTTTCTGAGAATAAACAAGCTGCAGGAAATAACCTACGCTCTATTACCTATAAATCTAAAAATCATAACCTATGAATATGTATGTTTACACCATGTATTGCTTTTCAATTAGTTTCCACCTCCTTCATGAGATGTATATGAGTGAATCGCTTTGTGGAATTCTCTCACTATTCTTTGGAGCAACTTCCATCAGCACATTTAATGTTTAATAAATATAGTCTTTGACTTATCACCACAATTGTGACCAGAATTTCTGTTGTTAAGCCAGGTGATTGTTAACTGAGCCACATCCAATTTTACAACTTTTTTTTTTGCCATGGTTAAGCAAATCAGTAAAGTTGCTAAATGAATTACGTGGTCCTCAAGTGAATCTGGCTTCTTCCATTGACTTGTTGGAAGTCATCTGGGAAGGATACAAATAGGGATCACTTGAACCCAGGATCCTGCAACAGTTGTAAATACATGCTGGTTGCCAAGTTCCCAAATTTTTATCACATGATTAAAGGGATGCTGCAATGGTTATAAGTGTGAAGTTTGGTTGTAAGTCACTTTTTTTCAATGCCATTGTAACTTCAAATAATCAGTAAATGAAAGATTGTAAGTTGAGGGGTGCTTTTTGATTCCACACTGTATGTTTCCTTTGTCCTTCACAACAAATGGAGGTGATTGAAAATACAGGGGAACCTGTGGAAAGTGATAAGTCTTTCACTTTCAACCCTACAGATTTTCAAAACCTATTTGCCAACCGTCCTTAGTTTATCATATAATTCTACCTCTTTTCTCATTTAAACTTGAAATTGTAATATAGCCAAGCTTGATCATATCCTAAAATGACTTAGATATTTTTATGGACACCCACTTAAATTATGAATAAAGAGGCTGTTCTACTTTAACCTTGCTGTTGGGTTCTCAGTTGACATCCTTGTCCCAGATTTTTACTGGATTCAACTTTTTCCTATTAGAAGTGACTGTAGTTTAAACTAGACAAAGCGGTAACTTTTGTACTGCCACTGTGTTCAGAATCCCCTACCTTTTCTGATCCTTCCTTCCTGTTTGTTCTTTCAAACTCTGACTGCTCCTACCACAGCTTTTTGCTTTAGACATAAGCCAGTAGCCTCTAGCCTGAGTTAGTGGGGGTAAAACTAGACTCCAGTTCTTGCAAGTGTAGGAAGTTAGCACCCATACCTCTCCTAGAAAACTGAAATATCCTAGGAAATATTGAAAAGGCAGAATATTTCCCCTAAAAAGAGTAGAAACTCAAGAGCAGAAACTCACCTCAGAAGTAGTAGCTCACCCCCACCTTTGTTAATGGGTGGGCCATTAAGGCCTGGGCCAGAATACTTTACATAACAAAGATCTGCAGGTAAAGCTATAGCAATTGCC